TATTTATGTTTGTGGTTGTAATGTGACAAAATATGGAAAAGTTCAAGGGGTATGAATACTTTTGCAAACCACTGTATTTATTTACTTATTTTTCTATTAAAACTGACTTTTGTGAAGTTATACCTTGAAAAAACAACTGAAGTGATTTGATATAGACGTATCACCATGGTTAGGAGGCAGAGTGTGGTCACGCAGAAATACGTCTTCTGTAAACCAGACTCTCTTTTTTAGGACTCACGACAAACAAACAAATGACTTGAATTGAGCTAAAATGTGGGTGTGATTAATACAGATTTTTTTTTGTTCAAAACTTTATGTTATGCAGCGGATAATATGCATGCCTATAAGAATAGCTAGTAGTCTGTATTTTATTAATGTTTTGCAAAAGTTTTGAGTCTCATCAGTGATTTGTTTTTTCTAGCTTCTCAAATTGTAGAATTCACACCTTTTTTTGTTTCATTTTACTCCCAATAAAGTATTTTTATTTAAAGAGAAAAATGAAACTGTCAGAACCCTAACCTGATACAAAGTAAAACACATTAAAATATTGGCAGCAGCCTGCAAACAATCTTCATGACGGTGTAAATACCAACACAGCGCTTTCTTCCTCTTGCCCTAACATTCAGATTCAAATCAAGCTGCCATTGTGCTGAATGGGCAAATGTGGTCTTATACCATTTAAATGAATACTTGACTGATTGTTGAGCAGGTGAATACTCACATGTTTAGAGAGGTTGTCGCTCTTGCAGTCTAAATCATACCTGCGCAGAAGAGGAAAAATATGAGAACAGGCACCTGAAATTAAAAAAAAAATGAAAATTTGAGCAGCAGATCGTGACAAATAGGCTACCAAAACACAAATTAGCAATTAATGACACGGGCTTAAATCAGTCATCATGCAGCATTAATACGAGCCACGTCTCCACTTATCACTGAGAAAGGTTTGTCAGAGCAGCTTTGCACAGCTCATTTAATGCATCAGCATGTAATAAAATTAGCTGCTTCATTTTCTCTATGAGTTCTCAAGCAAAAATTGTTACATATTGATGAACTCATTTAAAAATCTTTTTTTTTTTGTTTTTATTACTGATTTATTAGTCAAACACAGAGAAACATATAAAATGAATAATAGATTAAAATACAAATAGAAC